GAGTTGTATTAATGAGATATAAATGAAATGAAAGCATGTCACTGAAGATACCAAAAAAAAAAAAGTGTGGCAAAGGTGATAGCAACCTGCTCTTCCTACTTGGAAAGGTGACAGTGAGGTTTCAGTGATGTCATACAGATGTGAGGAGGGAATGATGACAATGGTATTCATTACTTCCTAGAACAGCTGGCCAAATGGAAAGGTCGTGGATGGACAATTAATCAAATTTTTTATTCCTCGTGTCATCGATCAAATGGCAGGAGGTAAAATTGGTCTGTTGTCAGCACAGGAAGAACCCGCTCAGCAGCTTTCCTGTCAGCATTTGGGCATTTTCAATAATGAATGCTTATCATTTCACACATCCCAGTTTATTCTCACAAAATTTGATTCTCAGTAAGAAAAGGTATTGGAAACCAGAAAAGAAAGCTCAGGGTTTTTTTATTTTATTTTTTTAAAATTTTATTGTGCTTTGGGTGCAAATTTAAAGAGCAAAATTTGTTTTACATTCAAAGTTCATGCACATTTGATTTCACGCCCCGATTACCATCCCCAACCATAATAGACTCTCCTCTCCTCCCATCTCTGTAACTACCCCCTCCCTGTGCCCTTCTTAACCATGCACTCCTGACTGCCCAGCTTTCCCTCTATGTGACTGCTGCCTGTATGGTGCCCTATGGCCAATTGCTCCAAGGGATGTATTTCCCTAGAGTCTGGGGGTGCATCGCCCTGGGGTAGGTGTTCTGCATGTAGGTCTTTCTACTTTGGGGCTGAGAGCCAATCCATGGGAGTGAGTCCAATTCCAGGCCCAAAGGGTAACCTTGTGGGTTCCACTAGACTCTATCCAACAGTAATTCTGATTGATCATTTCTGTGTTTTTGAATTTTGTTCCACATTTTTCCTCCCACTCTATCCACGATCTCCAGTTTTGATCCCTTTCCAGAGAATTCAGTTTTTTTAAATGAAGGCAGAGGAAGCCTGTGCATAGACTTTATGTTGTTGTTGTTGTTATGTGCCGTCGAGTCGGCCCCGACTCATAGCGACCCCTCCTTGGGTTCCCGAGGCAGTATCACTACGGAAGTAGGATTGCCCAACCTTCCTTCTGAGGAGTGGCTGGTGGGTTTGAACCGCCAGCCTTCTGGTGAGCCGTCAAGTGCCTTAGCCACTATGCTACCAGAGTTTATAGCAAAGTCTAATCCACACTTTTTACCATACATCCGCTTCTCACACGGGCCATTCCTCAGCTTCATTTTATGTTGGTGATGACAGGAGCAACATCACATTGTGTTTTTCCATGCCCTCTCCCCAGGCCATCTTACGTTAGGTATGTTGTTTATTGGTAAGAAAAGAAGTACTTCCACTGAAAAGACAGCTCTTTGTAAGTACCAGTTCCCTGGGTGTGTTTATGTGAGGTTTTGTTTTTCTTCGTTTGCTACAAAATGACACGGGAAGCTGGGTAGATCACAAAACTACAAGAAAACTATTTGACCTTGTTGTAAGAAAGTCATTTTCCTTTCTAGAGCCTTAATTTCCTCATCTGTAACTGGAGGGGGTGGGTGAATCCCTTTGGCTTTAGCATTTCCTCTTGTATCTCTTCTTGCCCCTGTACCTTGTGCATAGCCACTGTTTGTTTTATGGTAGAGAGTTTTATTGACAGCCTCAGAGGAATCAAGTCCTGTTGTTGTTAGGTGCCATTGAGTTGGTTCCGACTCAACAGTGACCTGTGTGCAACAGAAGGACACACTGCCCAGTCCTGCGCCATCCTCACAATCTTTGCTGTGCTTGAGCCCATCGTTGCAGCCACTGTGTCAATCTGTCTCTTTGATGGTCTTCCTCTTTTTTACTGACCCTCCACTTTACCAAGCATGATATTCTTCCCCGGGGACTGGTCCCCTTCTGACAATATGAGCAAAGTATGTAAGGTGAAGTCTGGCCATTCTCACGTCTTAGGAGCATTCCAGCTGTTTGAAAATAAGCAATCATGTCACTCCTCTTCCAGGCTACACATCCCAGGCTCCTTCTGCTTCTCCATTCAGCCTTGGCTCCCCCATTCAGTGGCTTGTCACCCTCCTCCAGACTCTCAAGAGTCTTTAAAAAGATCAATGAAAAGGAGACAGAAAACAATGTGTGGGAATATACCATCCTCTGTGCAGTCTTCTAACATGGAATCTTTTTCCATTGTTGAAGAATCAGCTTTATATGGAAACAGCTGATTTGTAAAACCGATAGGGGACGATAGAGTTATTTTAAGAGTGACATTGAGAATGTCAGGTAATATGATTTAAAAAGCACTTGGAAAAAAGGATCTCTGACCAAGCTTCTCACCTGGCCTGCCTGCCCACAAATTCTAACTCATGGTCACTTTGAGCTCTGCTCAGAAGGCAGCCACCTGCCAATGTAGTGGTCATATGGGAGGAAATATTACTTTGCCATTTCCAAGCTGAGTGCAGTCCCAAGAGATGGTATACTTTAGAGGAAGGAAATGGGACCCTGCCATAGTGGGCCATGGGTCAGTTTAGCAGGCAGGTGGTACTAGTCTTGGGGAGGAAGGAGAGAAATAACGTGTGGGAAAGACCCCCAAGTCTAAGTTAATCCCATTCTGTTCCTAACCCACTTAGTATTATTTAGCCTCTTTGACCTCTATATGTAAAACTGAGCCTACATTAGTTTTTTGCTTCCCGAGTATAGCCAGGATCCATTCAACACATATTACAGGCCTTGTGGTAGGCCCTGAGGAATCAATAGTGAGCAAAGACAGTTATGCTCTCAGTCCCAGACCTTACTATCTAGCAGACAGAAAGATATCTGGTAAGTAAGTAAATTGTTGTTGTTGTTATGTGCCGTCGAGTCAGACTGACTCATAGCGACCCCTCCTTGGGTTTCCGAGGCAGTATCACTACGGAAGTAGATTGCCCCACCTTCCTTCCGAGGAGTGGCTGGTGGGTTTGAACGGCCAGCCTTCTGGTTAGTGGTCAAATGCCTTAGGTACTACACTAACCCTTAACTCAAATTTATCTTTAATTACATATGTAGCTTGTTGTTGTTGTTGTTATGTGCCGTTGAGTCGCAACTACAACAGTATCAGCTCTTCTCTGGGCCTTTGTCACCCTTAGAAATCAGATATTTCCTCACATTATACCTGCTGCAGATGTCATGATATCATTTTCTGTGAGGGGATGTCACCTAGAAAAATTGGGTTGGGGAAGTGACACACTGAGCATTGAGGGAAGACTGGAGTTAGTAGGCAAACTAGAGAGGGACTAGCAAGGTGCTCTAAAAGGCTAGAGTGGCTGTAATACAGAACAAGGGGAGCGAGGCCAAGGGGATTGAAGAGGGAGCCAGGGGCCAGACCACCTAGGATACATCAAGTATTTTCATTTTTATCCTAAGAACAATCAGAAGCTTTTCACTCTGTGCATATTACAGGGATTAGACTGGGAACCCTGTTTAATAAGGGGTTTTATTGTTGTTGTTTTGTGCTGTCGAGTCGGACCCAACTCATAGCGACCCCTCCTTGGGTTTCCGAGGCAGTATCACTATGGAAGTAGATTGTCCCATCTTCCTTCCGAGGAGTGGCTGGTGGGTTAGAAATCAGATATTTCCTCACATTATACCTGCTGCAGATGTCATGATATCATTTTCTTTGGTCACTACTTTGAAATTACAGTAGTTGTGCAGCCCCACCAGTCTAAACCAAACCAAACATTGCCATTGAGTTGATTCCAATTCATAGCGACCCCCATTGTGCTTCCAAGGCTGTAAATCTCTACGGAAGCAGGCTCATCTTTCTTCCTCAGAGTGGCTGGTGGGTTCAAACCACTGACCTTCTCGTTAGCAGTCAAATACCTTAACCACTATACCACCAGAACTCCTTAGCCTCAATATTAGATCTTATTATTTATTGCACAAAAAAGCACATTCATTACTACAGTGAAATCTGTGAAAGCCAGAACTCAACAGGATTGCCTTTTCCAGATGTCACAAGTTTTCTGCTTTTCGCAGGGTGCAGTCTTACCACTTTCATATCACTCATTGTAATGGAAAATATTTGTTTTCCTTCTCTGACAGGTTCCCGACTTATTCAGGCTCCAGCTTTTTGCAGGTTTTACTATTACAAATTTGTCTTTTAAAATGTTGATAACTTTTTAATATAACTGGTTTCCTTTGCAATCCTATGTGTTTTGTGGAGGTGTTCCTAAACACAGGTAAACTGAAGAATGTCTAAGCAGCACTTCTTGGAATAAATGACCAAATAGATGTTCTATTCCCAGTAGTCGGGTGAATTAGATAACCTATCTAAGTCTCCCAGTGGAGCCAGTGAAATACTGAATACAATTATAAACATATACAGAATATCTTTGTAGATGTAATCCCTTAGAGGGTACAAAAGTAAGGGATGTGCAGTCCCAAAATGAAAGGAAAACCAGCGATTGCCTAGGGGTTTCTGCTGAATTCTTCAGAGCTTGAGCTGTCAAGTAATTAGAATTGTCCAAACCATTTTCTCTAACCTTACATGATACTCATTACTATTTTTTTTTAACTTTTTGCTGATTTTTATATCTTGCATTTAGTATGCACTGAATTTTAGCAAACTGAAAGCCTCTTACTCAGAACCATGATTTTGCCTGGGGTGGTGGGAAGGATCTTGGAAGTGTAACTGGGACAACAGTGGAGCGATGTTTCTCTAAAGATGATTCAACTTCAGAAACTTCAAGAAAACCAGAACTGTTGCCAGCTTAATTTTCACCCAAATGAACTTGCAGAGATTTTTTTTTTTTTAACAAAGTGCTTTTATTCTGATTTTTAAATGAAATGCATTGTTAGGTCCCTGCATGAAATATGAAAAGGCATTTATATATTTTTTTTGCTTAATTCTTTTTCACCACAGAGGATTCGAAAAAAAGCAAGTAGAAAAGATCACTGAAATAAAGCCAAATAGTTTGAGAGTATGAGATACATGAAGAAAATCATTCTTGTTCCTTTACACTGTGTGAAAGTAATGGTTAGTAGTCGTCGTAGTTGACACTGGCTCCGTGCCTTAAGCTGTAGGCGCTACGCGGGCCAATTGCAGCATCTTCATCGTAATGACGTTGGTAGTAATCACCGTAATAGTCATGCCCATTTCGATTTCTGTTCAGCCAGTAGGTGATATCGTCTTCAAATTTCTGGAGGAAAAGAGAATTGCTTTAAGGACACACTCTCTTAGACCACATCTTACCTAGGACTTTTCACTGTGGTGGTTTTTCTTTAATTATTAACAACCCTTACTAAGAATAACTCTTATCATATTCCTGTGCTCAGAAGTCAATACCAACCAGCTATAACAAATACTGCTAAAAGCTCTTTTGCCCCAGAGGAATGCATGGCCCCATACCTTTGAAAATTTGTCGTACTAGTTCTAAATATGCCCCAGACTTAAACATTTTTCTCTTTTTGACAAAAAGGATGTTTTTCCAAATGCAGTAACAATTTAGCATGACCCCTATGCCCTGCCAACATCTTTTTGAGAGGAGAGAGTCTTACCTTTCTGTTCTATTCCTGTGCCTGGACCACTATATATTGCACATAAAACCAAAAACCCATTGCTGTTGAGTCTATTCCGGCTCACAGTGACCTGTAGGACAGAGTACAACTGCCCCATCAGGTTTCCAAGGCTCTAAATCTTTACCGAAGTAGACTGCCACATCTTTCTCCCACTGGCTGGTAGATTTGAACTGCTGACATTTTGGTTAGCATCCAGGTACTTGACCGTTACACCACCAGGGCTCCCATATAATGCACATAGTAGGTATTTTATAACTGTTGGCTAAATAAATCAACCTCTACATGAGCATGTTGTTACAGCTATGGGGCAGAATATTTTTGGTGCTTTTAGTGGTAACTCTTTTATACCTGTGTTTTTGGTTAGAGTATGCATTTATTCATTCCAGAAACATTATCAAATGGACATAGCATGTCTGACACTGTGCTTGGTGCTGGAAGATCACCAAAAACAAAGAAGACATCCCCTGCCTTCAAGAAACCTATGACAGTTTCAGTTAAGGAAAAGAGAAGGATTAAAGATGAGTGAGAAGATGACCAGCACAGTAACACTAAGACAAAGGAAGACATGAAGAGGTACAGACAACAAAGGTAAACACTTTCACATACACAGGACTGCATTATCAGTAATTAAAGGGGAAAAAAAAAGTAAGACATGTAGAATGACATTCAGGTTTATGGCTTGGACAAATGATGTTTGCTATTAAATGTTTTTAAAAGCAGAAACAAGTCTTTCTTTGGTATAGGTGAAGGTGCACAATGAATTTAGATTGGGGCTCACACTTGTCCATGTTCAGGATAAGGTGAGAGATTTAGTGTGAGGGTAAAAGGGAGGGGAGCTAATCTATATACGAGCCTAGAGAACCAGACTGAGTAGGCTGTCAGCCTGTCCAGAAGTTTGGGCTTCAGGGCTAGGGTTTCTCAAAGTATGAGCAGTGGGCACCTGCATCCAAATCTGCATTCCACCTGCTAGGAATTGCGGGTTCTTTTGCATCACTCCACTCCTCTTGGATCATGTTTTCTGATGGTTTGTTCCCATGAATCTATGCTTATTTTTAATAAGATTCTGTGAATACTAATGTGTGAGAACCTGGGGAGTCTGGAAGCTACCGTCCGGTACATTGGTATGTGCCAACAGCTGCCCACTTTGAGTGAGAAGACAGGAAAAGGAATGGACCATTTTGTGCTATGCTGAAGAGCATGGTTCAAATTCCTCACCTGCATTTGCTGAGTCTGTAGTCTTGGTGAGCTTATGGACCCTATTGCAGCCCCTTCCACTTTAAGAGGACACTGACAACTCTGCCTCCATTCCCACCTTTCTTTTCTCACATTATATTAAAAAAAATGGTAGTGAAATAATCTCACTTCTTGGCTTTTGTTATTTTATAATAAGCTTGTTTGAGATTTTGGCTAAAATTTTTTTTCAATAAATATAATGTTTTTTAATGAATAAAGAAATAGTACAAACTCATCTGTAGGAATGGACCAAACAGCAAGGGTATCATATAATTTCAGTATCAAAGACAACCACCAGTAACATTTTGTGGTATTTCCTTCCAGTCTTTCCAGTACACATGTTGTTACTGTAATCTTGTTTTATATGCATCTTTATCCTGTTTTTGTCATCAGACATTTTAGCTATTTGCCCTTGTGAAATTCTTAGGACTCATTTTAATGAACTGTCTGATATAGATACCTGCCAAATATTAAGGAAATATCAATAATCAAGGAAGTGCAAATTACTAAAAGATGATATACCATTTTTACCTATCAAATCAGTAAATGCATTCTTTTCAATTTTCATTGAGAGTACTAGATGATGCTGAAGGTGCTAGAAATTGGTACTCTCATACATGACTTATGGGATATTTCAACATGGATTGAAAACCATTAACTATGACCGTTAGCCCCAGTAATCCCATTGGCCAGAATATAATTTTCAGTAAGGAACAAACTATACAATAATGTTACAAATAATGGCATCCACCTTTTAGGTTGTGAATGTTAAGTTAATTCATAGAATGCTTAGAATCATGCCTGGTAGAGTTTGCCTGTATGTGTTTAGTTACTTGAATAGAAAATAAAAATTATATTTCAGTTAGCAAGAAGATAATGGTGGGGACTTCCAGTAAGATGGAGGAATAGACAGACAAGTGACACAGACCCTCTTCAACAAAGAAAAGAAAAACCAGTTGACAGAGATACAGAAGATAATCCTGGAGCCTTGAGCTTTGAAAGGAACTATACAGAAGTGCATTAGGCACCAACTAGTGGAAAAACTGAATGAAAACAGTGAGTACAGAGATAGTCCGAGCTGCAAACTGTCAGCTACTCTGATGGGATTAACAACCTGAATATTTCCAAGTGGTGTTGGGACCTGAGGATTGACCTAAAGATCAGCCTTGTTCACCAACGGCTGCAGGGACAACTGCATTGGTGGCCCATGACTAGGAAGGGAAATAGCAAGGATGGAGACAACCTAAGCTGTTGACTTTCCACTGTCTGGAGGATGCAGCCATTTTGATTGTTTACATGTAGCAGCTATTTTGGATATTTAAAGTGACCGAGGGTGTAGCCATTTTGAATCTTTATAAGTGGCAACCATTTTGGATTTTAAAGTGATAGCGTTCTCATTTGTATTCCAGGGACCTAAGAATAGGCTCTGTTTGCCAAGGTTGGCAGGGACATATGAGAGGCTGACAACATGAAAGGAGACAGGTGGTGAACTAGTGCTGTCAACTAGCGAATAGAGGAGCACAATACCCTGCTTGCATAGATAACATACAAACAAAACAAAGAAAATGAAAATCATGGGTAAGTCATTCCAACATACAGTCACCAATTAAATATAAACACAAAAATGTCACAATACCTTGGAGACAACAGACCATCATAGTCCACACAAAGAAGCAAGATAAAGCAGGAGAAACAAGGGACCAGGATACAGACTCAAAACACATCCCTGAGGAAGACACAGCATTTGAACTCCCTGATAAAGAATTCAAAAGAATTATATTTAAGTATCTTCAACGAATTGAGAGACAGATCAAGGAAAATACAGAAAAAACCCTAAAACAATTTCGACAGACAATACAAGAACAAAATGACAAAATAAATGAAAAATTAGATATGATACAAAATCCACACACAGAAATCCAGAAGATTAATACTAAAATTTCAGAAATAGATGAATGGGCAAAGGAGCAAATTGAATCAATTGAAGACTGAATTAGGGAGATTGAAGGCAAATACCTGAACACTTCTTTGGAAAGGAATCAATCAGAATAAAGATCAAAACAAAATGAAGAAAGCCTAAGGCTCATGTGGGATACCATCAAAAGAAATAACTTATGTGTAATCAGAATTCCAGAACAGGAAGAGACAAATAAAACCACAGAGAAAATTGTTGAAGATTTGCTGGAAGAGAATTTCCTGGTATGCTGAAAGATGAGAATATATCCATTCAGGAAGTCTAATGAACCCACAGGATAGACCCCAATAGAAAATCACACAGACATATCATCATCAAATTTACCAAAACCAAAGAGAAAGAAAGAATCATGAGAGCAGCACGGGAAAAATGAAAAGTTACGTACAAGGGGCAACCAATTGGATTTCTTGACTGAAACTATGCAGGTGAAAAGACAATGGGATGGTATATATATAAAACCCTGAAAGAGAAAAATTTCCAACCAAAAAATATGTACCCAGCAAAATTGTCCCTCAAATATGATGGTGAAATTAAGACATTTCCAGATAAGCAGAAATTAAAGGAATTAGTTAAAACCAACCAACCTTACAAAGGATGCTAAAGGGAGCCCTTTGGATAGAGAAGCAACAACAGCCAACAACAACTGACCATTAACTCACATGATGATATAACCCAGAAACTAACCCAGCTTTGGAAGTATCCAAAATAAAGAAGCCTACAAGATTGTAAACAGGGAACCAGAGACATCAATTGACAAATAAGGACAACTACAAACCAAAAGAGGGAATAAATGTGTCATTGCAGAACTTCTAGAAGGTAGGGAAGTCAAGACAACTACAAGATAGAATGGACTGTTCTAAACTTGGGAAGAAAACTATAAATCACAGGATAACCTCAAAGAAAAGTGATAAACCTTCACATCAAAATAAAAAAGAGGACAAGCATAAATATTCAGCAAATACTAAAACAATAGCAATGAAGGAAGTGGTAACATGATTCATAAACAAAACAAGCTCAGCATAGAAAATTGTATGGAAAAAAGAAATTGACACAATGAAAAAGCACATGACAAAAATGACAGCAACAAATTCATATTTGCTGATAATTACATATCTGGCAAGGGACCTATCTCTAAGACTGATGGAAAACTCCAACGCCTCAACACCAAAGGAATTAACAATCCAATTGAGTGTGACTGTGAAGCGACACAACCACTGTGGAAAGCAATATGGTGATTCCTTAGAAGGTTGGAGATACCATTTGACCCAGCAATCCCATTACTAGGTATATATCGAGGTGAGAACCAGGATAGGAAGAGATACATGCACACTCATGTTCATCACAGCACTATTTACAATAGCAAAAAGATGTAAACAACCCACGTGCCCATCAGTGGAAGAGTGGATGACCAAACTATAGTACATACACACAATGGAATACTACGCAACACTAAAGAATAATGTAGAGTCTGCAAAATACCGCATAATATGGATGAACTTGAAGGACATTATGCTGAGTGAAAAAAGCCAATCACAGAAGGACAAATATAGTATTAGTTTGTTGTTGTGGAGGGTCAAGGAAAGGTTTATATATGGACAGAAATTTTCTTTGTTGGTTGCCAGGGTTGGGAGGGGTGGGGAGGGGAAGAAACACTGCAAAAAGAAAAAAAATGCATTGACCCATGTCACTTTAGTTTTGTGTATTTCACTGTACCTGAATTATATTGCAATAAAATGCATTAAAAAAAAAAAAAAAAGAAGAAGAAGAAGATAATGGTGGGGGATGAGAAGGAAATTGTGATACATCTGCATGATTTAAATTTTATGCAGCCATGGAAAATGATGCTTCTAAAGAATTAATTTTTTTCTCAACCACTGCAATATTTTAATTGCACCCTCCATCCATACCCAATATGAACATTGTGCCCATTTGGAAAAATGTTTTCAGCTGTCTCAATTTGAGCTGCTCATGAAACACTCATCTAGCACCTGCCTGGGTAGTGCAGGTTACATATGCTCTGTGTCTCTTAAGTCTCACATACACCTCTCATAACAAGTGCTAAATTCATTCCTGTCAATCATTCTGTAAAAATAATCCTGTGTAGGAGAGCTCAGAGGGCAGGAATGCATAGGAAAGAAGGACACAGGGAAAAGGTAACCACAGGGAGGAAGTGGGAAGAGAGCTGTTACATTATGGGGATTGCAATCAATGTCATGAAACAAACTGTATATGAACTGCTGTATGGAAAATGAATTTGCTTTATAAACTTTCCATATCGCAATAAAAGAAAATAAGTAAAAATTATCCTGTGCAGCAGAACCTAAGATTTTAACTCTTATCTAACTTTCCCCTGCCATAGTCTTACCAGTTGGGCATGTGATTATAAATATTCTTTTCCCTTAATTCAGTGAATTTCTCTATCGAAGTTCTCTAGGTACATGAACAAAAGGAGCTCTGGTGGTGCTGTGGTAAAGGTATGGGGCTGCTAACCAAAGGTCAGTGGTTTGAACCCAGCAGTCACTTTGCGAGAAAAAGACAAGACAGTCTGCTTCCATAAAGATTATAGCCTTGGAAATCCTTTGGGGGTAACTATGAATTGGAATCAACTCAATGGCAGCAAGTTTGGTTTTCAGTTTTCTTAGGCATATGAACTAAAAATCTTCTTTTTCCTCATATGCATTGGCAAATTTTTCCAAGAAACATCCATTAAGACCTGTCTCTCCTTTTAAGACACTTTTGACCTCCTTCAATTATCCTTATAAGTCTTTGTACCGATCTTTTTATTTCTGACATTTTCTTCAAGAAAATTGGAAACATTTTAGGGCATTGTGAGTTATTTTGAGGACACCCAGGCAAAATTGTACAGATAAGTTAAAAGGTTTCCTAGGAAAATCAGATTCTTCATAAATCTAAAAACAAAACAAAAAAACCAGTGTGGTCAAGTCGACTCTGACTCACGTGACCCTATGAGTGTCAGAGTAGAACCGTGCTTCACAGAGTTTTCAGTGGCTGATTTTTCAGAACTTGATAGTCAGGCCTGTCTTCAGAGGTGCCTCTAGGTGGACTCAAACCTCCAACCTTTAATTTAGCTGCCTAGCATATTACCCATTTGCACCACCCAGTCTCCTTAATCAACCTAGGCCCTAGCCATTTTGGCCTGTGGCTCCTCTGGAATCCCACCTTCCAGACATGCCCTCACTGGAGAGATTCTGATCTGGGCTTCACATGATGGAGGAACATTTCAGCTGATGTGCTTACAATGTTGGTAATGTCATTCAATGCCTAGATAGCACTTGGAATATGAGGGGGGATTTAATACTTACAGGATGAATAATGAAGCCTAAATTTTCTATTTCCATTCCTCATCCCCCACCACACGACCTAGTAGGAAGTCAGACCTCCAAAAGGAAAGGTTACCTACAGCTTCATCAAAGCCCATGTAGAGGAACTGCTGGTACCACTGCTGCACTTCTGGCCGAGTCCGGTCCCACAGCTGCCGTTTCTGGCGTTTCAGGCTGCTCAAGAATTCTTTTGCTTTGCTCTCACCAACAGCCACTTTAGTCTTTGTTGTAGGAGACACTGAAATGATCAATTTCCCATCCCCAAAGTACAAATAATTATATTTTCTTACTGAGGTTATATATCCTGTTCCCACTCCACCATAGAAAAGATAGGTCTCTCACTTTCATTCTTTAGCATGGCTTGCGTAAAATACAGCCTCAAGCCATCAGTTTCCCAAGTTTCTCGTTAGTAAGCTCTCCTCACTATGCACAAGTGAATGTTCAGCTTCTAGACTTCAGGATAGGAAGAAAATTCAACTTATCTGCAGCCCACTCACCATGCCCTAGGACTCAGGCAGGAAGTTGTGGCTTACCAGTTACCAGCAAAAAAAAAAAAAAAAACCCACTACCATCAAGTCAACTCCAACTAACAGAGCCCCCCCCCACTTAGTTTCCAAGGCAATAAATCTTCATGTAAAGAGATTGCCCCATCTTTCTTCCACAGAGTGGCTGGTGGGTTTGAACCACCACTTCTGGTTAGCAGTTAAATGCCTTAGGCACTGCACCACTGGAGCACCAGTTACCATCAAATTGTTTTCAATTTATGGCAACCCCACGTGTTGCAGAATAGAGCTGCGCTCCATAGGGTTTCCAAGGCTGTGACCTTTCAGAAGCAGATCACCAGGTTTTTCTCCCAAGACGTTTCTGGGCAGGTTCAAACCACCAACCTTTCAGTTAGTAGTTGAATGCTTAATCATTTGTGCCACCCAGGAACCACTGAGTAGTTGGTTTACCCCATGGGTAATTGAACTAGGTGTCTAGTAGCACACACATACATGGTATATGTTACAAAATGTACAAATGAAAGGATTATACTTGCTTAGAAGGCAAAGTTAGAAAAAACTGGGATAATGGTCCCTGAAAGAGTAAGAACTAGACTTAGTCTAGTGGCACAGCCAAGTTCTCACATCAGTTTGCTAAAATACAACGCCACCCTAGGTTACTATCTCTGGGCCTCACAGTGTGTGATCACTGACGATTCAATAGTCTTGAATGGTACTAGCCCGTGCTTTAACACTGCTTCCTCCAATGTCTGTCCATCAGTCTTAATTATTTAGAATGTACCCCTTCTGCAGGATGTTCTTAAGGGAAGGCGCTGCCCTTCCCCAGCTGTGCCGTTTCGCTTGCCTCTTCTGTCTGAACCTCTCTGAGCCTTTGTCCTCTCACTCTCTATCCCAGTGTTATTATGAAGAAAAAAACAATGTAAGTAAAGTGTCTAATGTATTTGTTGATGATACCAAGAAGTATTAACAAAGTTAATTTCTTTTTTTACCTCTTATTCATCTGTACATTCTCCTCAGCACTGTTTATAATGTTTTGTACACAGTAGGTGCTCAATACATATTCCTGGCTTGAACTGAGTAAAGGCTGAGGGGGTCTGATTATCCCAATTGTTTGTTCTCTGACCCACCTTCAATAGGCTGGACCTCTGACAACATCCAGTCACCCTTGAGCATCCTTTGAGTTGACAGGTTTGGAACAGCTACCCAGCCCAGTGAGGTGGGCCTTTCACACAGCCTCAGATATCAGGGACCCATGAGTGCTGGAAATACTGGGAAGGATGCTAGAAGCTCTGTAATAGGGGGAGCTCCCCTAGAAACTCTGCCCCTGAGAGGGGCAACATATGCTCCAGATACCCGTGAGGGACCTCAAAGGGGCTAATGGGGAAGTATGACAGTAAAGGCTCTAAGGCCCCCTTTGCAGAGGAGATATCAGCCTACCTGAAAGGCACTTGACTGCTAACCAGAAGCCTGGCGGCTCAAACTCACCAGCCACTCCTGGGAAGGAAGGTTGGGCCATCTACTTCCATAGTGATACTGCCTTGGAAACCCAAGGAGGGGTCGCTATGAGTCGAGTCCGACTGGACGGCACATAACAACAACAGCAACAACAGAAAACCAGCTGCCGTAGGGTCGACCCCAACTCATGGCAACCCATGTGTGTCAGAGTAGAACTGTGCTCCATGGGGTTTTCAATGCCTGATTTTTTTAGAAGGAGATCACCAGAACTTGAATGGAACCTCTAGGTGGACTTAAACTTCCAACCGTTTAGTTAGCACCCAAACATGTTAGCTGTTTGCACCACTCAGAAATTCAACCTATTAGAATCCTCCATTAGGAAAGGGGAAAAAGAATAAACCATTTAAATGCTCCCATTAGAAATGTAGTCAAAATTTAGATGTCTTCATTTTATGGATAAAAATAAAAATTCAGAGAGGGAAACACCACACAACAGATTTAATTGATTCAGTTCATCTATTGGATTAGATCTGGCCTGAGCCGGTATTTCAAAGATCCCAGACTTCTCTAGTTCTACTATGATTGGCTGCTTACCACATTTATCTTAGAGGCAATTTGCACAACATGGTTTAGTAATAAAAAGGTTTTTCCGTTTCACCTCCCTCACCCCTATGAATAGCTAATTGAATATAGAGTTCCATAACAATCCCTTCCCTGAGTACTCCACCAACCAAGGTTCAATGTTCTCTACTTCCTACTTTCTAAATTTAGGTATGTGCCCTAAAGTGTTCCATGCTTCCAAAATAAACAGCATTCAATTAACACTGTGATACTGTTTCTTTTATTTTTGAGTCCACAGACAGCTTTCAGTAAAACAATCTTCAAACATTTACTGGCAATAATATTTATCTAATAAAATACTACACCACACACCCACAGAATAAGCCCTTCAGATCTCCTAATGTTTTAAGGAGTAAACACTTTTGATTTTCCAAATACAGGTCTCGAGTGAGCACATTCAACATGGGCATTTCATTTTAAGCCAGTTGAAAATACAACCTTTATCCACTGGGGGTATACTTACCTTCCTGTTTTTGAAACATCAGCTTGAGTTTATTTCCACTTATGCCACCTAAAACAATGAAAATAGAAATCTGTTTTAGAGTTGCACTGAAGGCTTTAATTTCTCAAATGCACAAATCAGAGTTGGAGGAAAGAACTGCATGCCCCCACCCCTTGAGTTGGCAACTTGGCAATACAGCAAAGTGCAGATGTTAAAAGATTGGTTTCTCTTAGCAGCCGCCATCCCATGTAATAGCACCAGAGATGAGGTCACGATTGATATAAGGATTTTCCCCATCATTCTTCCTTCATCACCATATTTATACCTATGGAAAACTATCCTTCCTACATTGGCCTTGCTCCTTTCCTTCCTGCCAAGACAATGGTGTATCACTAAGTCATCAGTTATAGGATTTAATGTTTGTCACATTACCCATCATACAGAGAAAAGAAATCTCAGGCTACCTGTGGCTAATACTGGTGACCATGACTATAGCTGACCAAAGGCATTCAATTTGAGGTATTCCCAAGGAAGACTGACATTGTTCTGTTTTAGCCAGTATGTCATATTATCCCATCTGTTCTGTTTACCTCCCAGGCAACTTTCACCTTTCATGGTTTAACAGGTTTAATGTTGGTGTTGTTTGCTGTGGAGTCAGCCCTCAACTCATGGTAACTCCCTACTCAATGGATTAGACCACTGTGATTGGTTTTCATTGGCTAACTTTTCATAAGTAGATTGCCAAGCCTTACTTCCTAATCCATCTTAGTTTGGAAGCTCCATGGGAACCTGTTCAGCATAATACCAACATACGAGCCCCTTCTGATAAAGTGGTGGAGGTACAGTGGCCAGAAACCAAACCCAGTCACTCACACAGAAGGTGAGAATTCTACCATTGAAACCGCCACTATCCCCTAGTGGGTTGAAAAGTGTCCTCCAAAAACTCAAGTCTAACTAAACTTTAAGATGCATGCTTAGCTCAATTGGCATAACATACTATGCAAAAATATTGTTCCACATCCTGCTTTGGTGACTAGCAATTGAGATCTTAACAGCTTGCAAGTGGCCATCTAGATGCAATGATGGGTCTCTCCTTGTCCAGAGAAAAGAAGAATGAAGTAAACCAAAGATGCACGGAAGCAATTAGACCAAGGGACTGATAGACCATGTGATCCTCAGCCTTTATGACCATGAGGCCAGAAGAACTAGATGGTGCCTGGCTATCACTGTCAACCACTTGGAAAGGGACCTGTGTAGGAGATCCTGGATAGAGTGGGAGAACAATGTGGAACAAAACTCAAAATCATTAAAAAAAAAAAAAGACCAGGTTTGCTGGTCAGATAGAGTCTGATGGAACCCCTGAGACTATGCCCCCCAGCTCCCCTTCAGGTCTGGAATTGAACTCACTCTCATGGCTTCCAGCCAAATAAAGACCAGCATATGAGCTGAACATTTACATCAGGTAGATACACACCTTGGAGAGATCAATCATTGGAGAACACAACAGCAGTGTATGCACAGGGAGATGGAGGGGCAGGAGTGCATGGGAAGGAAGGACACAGGGAAGAGGTAACGACCGGGAGGAAGTGGGAATAGAGCTGTAGCATTGTGGGAAATCGCAGTCAATGTCATGAGACAAAATGTGTATGAACTGCTGTATGGAAAATGAATTTGCTCTGTGAACTTTCACCCAAAGTACAATTTTTAAAAAAAGATTCATGCTTAGTTGCAAATAGGGATTTTGTGTATGCAATTAGTTAAGGTTTTTAGTTTGTATCAGCCTTAGGCACTATGGTACCAGAGCTCCTAATTAGTTAAGGTTCTTAAATTATATCATACTGGAATTAAGACAGGCCCTAAATCCAATGACTGGTATCCTTATAAGAAAAGAGGATACAGACAAGGCTATGTGAAGTGAGAGGTAGGCAGACATTGGGATTATACTGTCACAAACTAAAGAATCCCTGAGTCCACCAGAAGCTAGGATGAGGCAAGGAAGGATTCTTCCCTAGAACCTTCAGAGGAGCATGGCCCGGCTAACACCTTGATTTTGGACTTTGTCTCCAGAACTCTGAAGGAATAAATTTCTATTGTTCTAAACCACCCAGTGTGGTTGTGTTGAAGGCATTCAAACTGTTATGGCAAGAGTCAGATTGCTCGTAAGCAAAGTAAGCATGGGCTTATTTGTGCTTACTTACTAATTTGTAGTGAACAATTTCACACTTTTTCATCACATCGAAGATTCTGCTTCTAGGTATGGCTGACATCTGTCTCTCTCCCAACCCCACAACACCTTCCTACAGAATCAAAACCTCTTTTCAAATTTACGGTCCTTGACAAGGCAGAGTCATGTGGTAAGAAAACATGTAATGTGTTCACTACAAATTATTAAGTAAGCACAAGTAAGCTTGTGCTTACCTTGCTTTTTGGATAACCCATCCCATTTATGGCAGCCATAGGAAACAGACATACATGGGTAACCAGATATGCACATGCTCAACTATTTTGGACCTCAAAACATTGATTTAGTGTTCATTTTGGGTGTGTATATATACAAATAGTGCGTTTTGATTTTCCAAAAAAAAAGTAAGCTGGAAAGAGATTTATATAACTTATATAATGCTTATTATATGTCAGGCACTACTCTTTGGGTTTTAAGTGTATTCATTTATTTAATCTTCACAATGTTCTTATGGTATAAATTCTATTATTACCCCCATTTTATAGCCGAGAAAACTAAAGCACAGGAAGATTAAGAAATTTTTTCAAAGTCAAAGAATAAGTAAATGGTGAAGCTGGGATTTGAACCCAAGTAGTCTGCTCCAGATTCCATGCTCCTCACCATTATGCTTACAGTGCCCAAAGCAGCAACTCCTCCTGTGGCTCACAAGTAAATAACCTGCCATCTCTGATGTCACAAAATGACACATTCTGTTTCTATAGGGGTTACTTCTCTCATGTTGTTATTTGCCATTGAGTCGGACCAGACCCATAGCAGCCCCTCCTTGGGTTTCCAAGGCGTTATCTCTACAGAAGTAGATTGCCCCATCTTCCTTCCAAGGAGTGGCTGATGGCCAGCCTTCCGGTTAGCAGTCAAGTGCCTTACTTCTCTCATATTCAATGTAAAATCAGAACTTGTATCTCCCTGTGATCCTGTCTACATGGGATAGTTTTTAAAGGGAATTCAGGTCAAATATTTTTTGACTTGTTTGTTTTCTTTCTTTTCCTTTCCTTTGGGGTGGGGTTATAAAAAATTTTAAATGTGTTTTCGTTCAGTCAAGAAAGTTTACTATTTTTCTCAATTCACTCTCTGCTCATTAAAATGTAGGCTGAAATATTGAGAACACTTCATTCAAGTATGTTGTTGTTAGGTGCTGTCAAGTCAATTCTGACTCAGTGACCATGTGTTACAGAGTAGAACTGCCCCATTGGGTTTACTTGGCTATAATCTCAACAGAAGCAGATCACTGGGTCTTTCTCCCGCAGAGCCACTGGGTGGGCTCCATACATCATCCTCAACCTCAGTTAGCAGCTGAGGAAGTAATCATTGGGCCACCAGCATGCGTGCCTTCATTCAAGTTGAAACCAAAAATCAAACCCACTGCCATAAAGTCAATTTGGACTCAGAATGACCTCTATAGGATAGAGTAGAGCTGCCCCATATGGTTTCCAAGGTTGTAAATATTTACAGAAGTAGATTGCTTCATCTTTCTACCGCAGAGAAGCTGGTGGGTTTGAACTGCCCACCTTTTGGTTAGCAGCCAAATGCATTACCCACTATGCCACCAGAGCTCTTTTTTTTTAAGTTTAGAGTGGTTAAAACTGGGTTTATTTTCCTAATATCCTGAGTTTTAGACCTGGAGTGAATCTGCAGCCCCTCCTTGATGGGGCCATGCACTTGCAGACACCTGGTTGCAGCAAAAAGCAAGCAAGTGGGGTGATCTACAGAAGAAGGGAAATGACACATCCGCTCTCTAAATACTCAGCCCAGTTTTGTAGTTTGTTCATATCATGTTATAATCCAGCATTATTTGTACCATTTATTGTCTTTATTCCATTCTAACAGTGTTTCTAATGAGTCCAATACTTTTAATAGAAAATAACCTATCTGGCCTGATTGAACCCCCTTCCACCACCACCCAGTTAACCTGTCTAAAGACCTATAGAATGATTTGCTTTAAACTTGCATGGAAGAAGAAAAAACTCTGATTCTCAAATGTTACGTAAATGTATAAGGCTTGTCTTCTGTGAAGTGAACAACCCAAAGCCCCTGGAGGAAAAAAAGAAAAGAAAAAAACTCTGGTATCCTATGTCCAAAACCATTTTTTTTTAGAAAGAGTCTTTAACCTGGTATCTTCTCTGTTCATGAACAGGGTTCAGGAGTCTGGAAAGGTATTGAAAATTGTATGTACATCTGCAAAGGTACAGTTTTCTGGGAATAGGAGCCTAGTTTTCACCAGAAAATTAACAAGTATTTGTGATCCAATAAGATCAAGAATTTACTATGTAGTTGGGGAGAGAAAACACATCCATAGCCAAGGATCATAAACTAACTGCCCACAGCTGAACTCTGCCTGCAGATGCATTTTATTAGAGAGCCCAGTATCTACAAATGTTGAATCTGAACACCTTTAAGCCAAATTCACTCAGTATACCCCATGGTCCGTCCGTAAGCTGCCATTTCATCTACTTCACTTATTTCCCTAGTCCTCTGTAGGCACTTGAATTTGAATCCCCTTTGAGTCTACCTGACTGCCTTTGGAATAGTTATACCAGTCAAGGAGCTTGCTGGCCTGGTCTTTGAGATAGGAAAGGAATTCTGCTGTGACTTCCCCAACTTGTTTAACACTCAAATGCCAACCTCATGATTCATGAGTAGGGTGATCACCCTTATGGTTCTCCCAGGACAGTCCTAGTTTATGCCTGTTGTCCTGGCATAATTCATGATAGTGCCTCCTTTCACTCTCAAAAGTGTTCCATCTTGGATGATAAATTATATGGTCACCGTAGTTTTACAGGCTTCATGGCACAGCCACAAAGAATCTCTAGGGACCACAACATCTCTGGGAAGGATGCTGACTTACTGGAGGGGCAAAGATGGTGTTGTCTTCATGTCTTCCAAAGGGAGGCTGGGTTAATATAGTAGCACAGTATGTAGCAGCCCATCAAAGAGATTCTGTGGTTTTCATTTTCTACACTCAGTTGGTCTACAGTGATGTGGTTCTTTAAAAAGAAATGGCATTCTTAGGCTGCTTTAATAAAAGGATAGCATTTTGGAAAAAAAAAAAAAAAGGAAATGATTGTCCAGTTTCTGTTCCAGGACTTCTTTGATCAGACCACCCTTCAACTATGTTGTACAGTTCATGAGACTTTAAGAAGTTCATAGAAAGACTGAAGTTGTGGTCAAAGGTAAACATCCAGAGTGGACAGGGGCCCAAACATTCATTATATGAGAAAAAATTAAAAGAACTTAGGTGTTTAACTATGAGGAACGAAACTTCTGGGAGCAGTGCTACAGATCTAACAGACCACTCAGTTGTAGATTAGGGCATGAAGTGAGGTTTCCAACAGCTGGGCAGTCATCCAAAGATGGAATGATTTTCCCCCAGATGTTTCCAGTCAAGAATTCCTGGAGATGTTTGAGCATAAATAAATGGAGGTGAGCATTTGACAAGAGGAGATGATTTCATTAGATGAGGGTGGGACTACTCTTAAAGTTTATACTTCCCCTCCAACCTTACGAGTCAATGAAAAAAAATCTGAAAACATTTGTCAAAGAAGACACTAATATTATTATTCATTAATATCTTAACATCTGTTGATCTCTAACAACTCACAGAGTAGCACACACAGAATTAAATATTATTTCTCCACCTATCTGCTTTCTGTAAAAGTGCTTAACAATTAATGAATGGAATGTAGTTTTGTTGTTGAAATAGACATTGGTTTTAGGCATTAGTAGCAAGGTTGCAATTTCTTGCAGATATATATATATATATATATATATATTACACATACATATCTATATGGGAGCTCTGGTAGCATAGTGCCTAAGGCATCTGACTGCTAACCAGAAGGCTGGCGGTTCAAACCCACCAGCCACTCCTTGGAAGGAAGATGGGGCAATCTACTTCTGTAGTGATACTTCCTCAGAAACCCAAGGAGGGGTCACTATGAGTCGGGTCCGACTCGACGGTACATAACAACAACAACAACATATCTGTATACTCACACATACACACTAATGGTTGAGAAATGTGTCACCAAATTTCACCTACACAACTGGAAAGCATGGATAAGTCCTAAATTATTAACTGTTAATGTTGCCATGGTACCAGTTACTACACATTGAACTATAAATATTAATACATATAATTGGACACCAAACTAAATTTATTTGAATAATGGAATAAAAAACAAATTAATAGCTGTAGCTTTTTTCTCCCCTGTATTATGGATTTTTTTAATCCAACATCATCATTTACTCTTTCTGGGTGTGATAACAGGCTCCCCCTAATTTATCAAACCCAGTTACCTGGCATTTGAGCTCCCAAAAGTTTCAGAATTGCAAGATGCCCCTTTGTAGGTGCCAACTATTAATAAATTGATCAAGAAGGGAATTTTCTTCATGAAATTATTATAGGTAGCATACAGCCTTTTTGGGGACTCTACATATGCAGATTTTCATGTATGTCAGAAGAATTTATCATACTTTAGCTCAATGGTGATAATACTTTAATCAAGTCTTCTTGCTAACTTCTTGGTAGGAATTAAATAAAATATGGATTCTGAAAAGGGATGGTTTATAGCCAGTGCTTATTCAGATGTATTTCTTACAACAGAAGGAACAATGTGGGGGAAGTAAGTCAGTCATGTAATAGAAAATTATTGATTAGCAATCCCTGTGGTTGTAAACTAGAACATCTGTAATCCTCCCCAGTTGAACAGGACCCCTACTGTTAAAGTGACTGGAGGGCTCCCCACCTCACCAGTGAGTTTAGTTTTCCATGCCTGTGTTGAATGAGCAGAATACAGAAGCTGAACAGCCAAGTTTACTTTCAATTTACATTATACAGCGCCCTGTGACTTTTTGTGGATAAAGCACATGTATGGAAGGAAGTAGGATCTGGTGGGCTCATTATGAATTTACTTGAGCAAATTATTTAACTCCTTCTAGCACAAGTACCCTTACCAGTAAAGGTGGGGCCACAATATCCCCATCGAGGCAGGTTAAGTAGCACAGGCACTTGTGTATACACGAGGCTACTTGTGAACCATAAAGGATTATACAATGCAGATCAGGACAAAACACACTACTTCAGATTGCAGTTCTCAAGAGTTGGTTGGGGGTAGGACTTGGCTGATTCTAGCTCTTATTCTCTTCTGGTCTACCTCATTTTCTTCTCTCACTCCAACACTCACTCTTACTGTCTTTGTGTGCTCCTTCACATTTTGCATTAATATTTCTCCCCTGCCTCCCTTATCTCCCATCGTCCCTGGCTCAGGGCTTTGCTCCTGCCTTTTTTTAGAAAGTGACCCTGGACTTCCAGGGTTTAAATATCTGTGCACCCTGCTTCATTTTGGACGTGTGTGAAAAATGTATACTTCTATACGGAATGAACCTGGAACTTTCAGCAGAGCTGTTGAGGATCCCATGAAGTAGAAAAGGAAGGTTTCACCCATCTGGGGTGTGAAGCCTGGCCCAGCACTTTGGAGAGCTGGAACTTGACCTTGCTGTGAAGTGCAGCACAAACTCTGTTGCCTAGTGACTAGTTGGAAGGGAATGGAGGTGAGGATGCCATTTGCCTTCCCCTGGGGCTAGGAGGCACAATCCTTCTTAAAGGCCTCACTACACTACCTCTTTGCTCCTTACATTAATTCCTTCATACCACTATCACCACCACCACCCTTTGAACGCCTGGCCCTCAATCTTCCCCAAGGTTATCCCGCAGATCTTGGCCCACCCAAACCAACCCAAGTGCCACTTTTGCACTCACATAAATGTCAAACTCTAAACTTGGTGTCCCTATCAACTCTTGCCCATTGCCCAGGTAAAGGAGGGGTTCCTACTCCCGCCACTTCCATCACCAACCTCTTCTTCCTAGAAGCTTTAGTAATGCTACCTTGAACCAAGCCCAATGTCGAGCCAGGACACCATCTGTGGCTGGCATAGCCTTACTCACCTGGGCCCAGGCAGAGTAGCAGGAGCAACACCAGCCACGTGAGGGCCAGAATGGCGGGCCGCGCGGAGGAAGCGGCCATAGCCGCAAGGCTGCTGAGGTGCAGCGAAGTACCAAGGCCACGGGCACAGGCCGAGACGCTGCGTTGGGACTGGCGCACACGTCAGGAAAGAGGAGTCCTATCTATCCAACGTGCGCAAACCAGGCACACGCGGGCAGGCGCCGCTCAATTCTCCCCTTTCATCCCCACAGGGGCGGGACTGGACGCGGGCCGGCGCCGCGCCAGGGGGCAACTGGCCAAGGCGGCCTTGTGAGCGCAAGGGGAGCGCCACCGAAGCCCCGCTGTGCCCGCTCTTGGCCGAGCCGGTCTCTCCCGGCCCGGTGCCAGCTGTCTCTTTTCATGCCCCTCAACCCCAAGGGGTAGCAGTCCCTCCCCTGCAAGCCAGCGCGGCATCATTATGTTGGGGGTGCACAGGGAACCACTGGGAATTGAATACAGTACAGCCTGTGCTGCCAGATGCAGAAAGCAGTGAGGTGATAGCTCAGTTCCAGCTGTATATGGAAAGGCTATAGGAATCCAGGAAAAAGGGAAATGCTTTCCAGCTATGGGGGTGAGGAGATGGGGAGATGGGTGGGGAGGTGGATGGGAAGGACTTGCCTGATTCCAGCTCTCATTTATTTCTCTGCTGTCCTACTCCATTTTCTCTTCTTACCCCAATTTGCTATTTTCCTGTTCTTCATATTTTGAGTAAATTCTTCTTCCATCTCACATCTTCCAATGCTCAGGGATTTGCTCCTGCCCTTTCTTATAAAGTGGCCTTTGGAATTTCCTCAATTCCCAACATTACTTTTACAGATGCCTTTAGCAATGCTATCTATGTGTTTTGATATTTTGAAAGACTCCACAGTCTGGCTGCAGAGCTGCAGTCCAGGAAAACATCCTACCCCAAATAGTTCCAGTAGAAAAGGCTTTCAGAAACCAAGAAATGGTGAGCTTTGCAAGTGTTAGAAAAATAAATGCTGTCCCATTGTGTTCTCTGGAATCCATGCACATTTAAATGCTGTTACAGTATTGTTTTGGGAGGAGCATGAGAGTTTAATGCAACAGAGGTGAATATTATTACATACTGCAATGACAGTAATAACAATAATCTATAAGTGGATACGTAGCTAGACACGCAAGCTGCATAGGTGTGGGAAGGCGAATGGGACTACACTAACGAATATACATAGGTTTGACAGAGAAAAAAATAAAATAAAATTCTGTTGTTGTTAGTTGCCTTTGTGTTGATTCTAACTCATAGGGACCCCATTGTGCAGAATAGAACTGCTCCCAAGGGTCCTGGGAAAGTAAGACCTAATCAAAGCACAAAACTGCCATCCCAATCTAGAGATCTGCGCAGGTACAGAGGACCCATAAAAGGCAGTGTGGTTTGACGAATGAAAACGAAGACAAACTTGTCCCAACTTTTTGTGACCTTGAACAAGTCATCTAATTAATCTCTCTGTGCCTGTCTGCAAAATGGTGGAATGTAAAGTTACCTTTAGGGCCCTTCCCAGCCAAGATTTGATCTGAAAGAAACTCAGTTGATGGCCTCTTTCCTTAATCTCATTCCTCACTTTTTATACCTTCCAGTGGTAAGTGCTTACAATCTCACCTGATAATTAGCTCTCCATGTCATACAATTGGACTCCTTCCCCAGCAAGTGAGAGAGAAATATTTTAGCACTGAGCTAGAAAAGGCAGATGGTAGCTGAGAAAAGACAAAGTGAGAGGGAAGCCTGGGAGGATAACAATGACAGATTGTGCAGGCTGCCCAAAGAGCCAGTATGAGAAAGATAATGGTCTACATCACGTTAGGCTGCAGAAACACCTATAATCCCTGAGAGAAATGGCAAAATGGAAAGTAGGATTTGAAAAAGCAAATAGGCATAAATTTACTTTTGCTCAAGAACAAGAAATGTATAATTAGGAAGAAAATCAAAGCAAATAGAAAACAAAAGTTCTGTTTGGATTGGTTTAGAACAAAAATTAAGGATATAAATTGTCATCTGTTATTTACCTTGTAGAAAGCAACCCTCTCTCCTCACTCCCTCCCTCCCCCTAATCTCGAGGAGTACTAAATCTCTTCTCTCAACTAGGATATGATCAGAACTGACTTTATGTAGCCAATGAGGACAGCTTCCTCCCTGGAAATTTTTTTTTTTTTCCTTTCCCCATCTTTGGCAGCAGATTTGTATTTCACGTCTTCTCATCTCATCCTCGCATGTTCACAGTTAAACACAGAGTGGCACTTTGTTTTTGTTTATTTAAAGATCCCAAGGGGAAAAGAGGGGGCTGCTTTAATCAGCTCATACAGTTGTAGGATTTCAAGAAGAGTAGATACAGTCCACCCTGTGTATTCATGGGTTCTGTATCCATGGATTCAACCAACCACGGATAGAAAATATTCAGAAAAAAGCAATTAAGTGGTCAAAGCAGTCTCTCAAAGGCTAAGAGGGAGCATAAAGGGCTATTTACACAGCAATTGCATTGTGTTACTTATTAGAAGTAATTTAGAGATGATTTAAAGTATACAGGAGGATGTGCGAAGGAGCTCTGATGGTGCAGTGGCTAAAGTATTTGGCTGTTAACTGAAAAGTCATAGACTTGAACCTAACAGCTGCTCTGCCACAGAAAGATGAGGCAATCCTCTTCCACAAAGATTTACAGTTTTGGAAACCCCATGGTGCAGTTCTATTCCCTCCTATTTGGTCGCTATGAGTAGGTATCAACTCCATGGCAGTGGGTTTGGGGTGGAGAGGATGTGGATAGCTTATATGCAAATACTAAGCCATTTTATATAAGGGACTCAAGCAATCATGGATTTTGGTATTCACAGGGGTCCTGGAACTAATCCCACATGGATACTAAGGGACAACTGTATCAAATCCTGATTTTATATGGGCCCACATGAAAAAAAAAAAAAAGTTTTATTATTATTTGAAGTATAAAATTGGTAGAACAAATAAAGGATCCTGCAGAAAATTATTTAAAATAACTACCAATAAGATTACACATACACACACACACACACAAATATTTGCTGAGAATTGGGCCTTCATTTCCTTTCTGCAGGGAGAGGATAGAGGATTATTGATATGTACCCCTCCAACTTGTTCCAGCCCATATCCAGCAAATGTAGGGGTGTAGCATCTCTGAGATAAAGAACAATGATTAAAGAGCATTGCGGAGGACACTGATTGTAAATCTTCTATTTGAAGCTAAGTTTAGAGTTTCTAACCAAGAAGATAAAAAAGGATGACCATTTGTTGTAAACAGTCCATTTGGTCATCTGATTGGTCTTCTGTGTTCTGATATGAAACAAGAATGGTCTATAGTAGACTTTACAGATTTCTTATAAGTGGGAGTTTACACATTCTACAATGAGCCCTGGTGGTGCAATGACTAAGTGCTTGGCTTTTAACCAAAAGGTTGGCAGTTCAAATCTACCAGTGGCTCCGTGGGAGAAAAAAATCTGGCAATCTATGTAGGAAACCCTATGGGGCATATAGGGTCTTTATGAGCTGGAATCGACTTGATGGCCTACACACATCCTACATAATTACTAAACTCTTATCTCTGCCAGTGGCAGAGGCAACCTTGTAAAACTTTTACTGAAATATAATACAGAAGAGTGAAGAATGTGCAATATAATGAATCAAGACACAAAAGATTCTCAGTGCCTACCCACGATGTAACATAATAGCTTAGTTTGAGACAGTTATCTTTTAAGAGCATTTCACTGGTAGTTTATTTTTGTTTTTGTAAAAAGGAAACAACCTCATGGAAATAAATTACGATTATGAATCAGAAGATGCTAAATAATAATAAGAGTGTTAAAAGCATAAGATTGATGCCTGTATCAATTTAATCCAAGTCAATTCAATTTAGTTCCACATCAATATCTATTTCTCAAAATGCTCACTGAACATGTTTTTGCCTAGACAATATTCAGAGTAAAATGTCTTCAGCTCCAGTATTCTTATCTGTCATACACACTTAGCAATATTATTTTATCACTGCTGATAAAACAGTAGGAGGCTTGGTGGTGCAAATGTTGTGTTTGGCTGCTAACCTAAAGGCTGGTGGTTTGAACCCACCCAGAAGCTTTACAGAAGAAAGACCTCGAGATCTGCTCCCACAAAGATTTCTTGTTGTTGTTTTGTGCCATCAAGTCCATTTCAACTCACAGGGACTCTGTGTGACAGAGTGGACCTACCCCATAGAGTTTCCCAGGCTGTAATCTTTAAGGAAGCAGACTACCAAGTCTTTCTTTGTGGAGGAGCTGATGGGTTCAAACTGCTGATCTTTCAGTTAGCCCAGCTCTTAACCTTTGCACCACCAGAGTTCCTCGAAAAATGACAGCCTAGGAAACCTTAAGGGGGCAGTTGTACTCTGCAAATGGGGTCGCTGCCATTCAACCTGCCTGGCACCTCACAACAACATAAAACAGTGTTCAAACCACTCTCATCTACCTATCTCATTTAGTATTTCAACCATTTTCATTCATGCAGGGTCTGTGGTTATTTTGAGACTACCCCTTGGAGTTTTATCTCTCCCCCATACCAACAGGAAAGAAAGGACCATTACTAAATTAACATCTCTGTGAAGATCTCTCATTATCACCAATTCTTTCACTAAGTGTTTATGAGGTGTGATGGAAGTCCCCCCTATTTCCTACAAGGTAAAACAGAAGGTTGGGCAATCTACTTCAGCAGTGATACTGCCTCGGAAACCCAAGGAGGGGTCGCTGTGAATAGGATCTGACTCCAAGACACATAACAACAACAACAACAACATTAATAAGTAATGGGTGTTCTATATCACTGAACAGTCACTTCACTTCATAAAGGACTGTTAAACTCAGGTGCTCTACCCATAGAGAATATGTGAGTTCTCAAGACCACTGATATCCAAATTCCTGTCCATTCATTTATTTGTTCAACAGTATTTACTTATAAAATATTTCCTGCATGCAAGACACTGTGAAAAGTCCTTTTCTTCCTGTTCATTTGATTCTGTCATCACCCACAGAACAAG